ATGATCAAATGTAAGGAAATCCTATTTTTGTTGCATATTTTTTCCTTTTTGTCCATGTTTACTTTTTTTCAATCTGCAACTGAACATTGTTATGGGTTTTTTGAATTATGAACATCGTTTGCACTTCAAAATGTAATCTTTAATCTGCTGAAAAGGAAGGGAAAAAAAATAAGAAATTAAATTCACATTAATATCAAATCTCATGAATGTTCAGTCCTTTTAGTTAAAACTTTTTTGCATAAAATATGAAAGTTTTTATGTAATTTCACCATTTTGAACGAATCAAATCACCTGTAAGCATCTTAGCTAATCACTAGACTTAGAACTAATCTAATTCAGATCAACATCTAATTAGATTTAAGCACAGATTAGATAAAGGTTATGTAACTGATGAAAAACCACAGAAAACAGCAGGCTTAGCCTGTGTAAAAGTGATAAGTTTTCTATGAACCTGAAGTAACAGCGTGCCAGTCTTGTGCCTGTAATGTGATCTCCCTTGGCATGTGAAATTCATTTGGGAGCATTAAACTTATACACAACATTGATATGGGGAGATTTAATTGAAACTCATTTAGCTACTGTTCAATCATAAAGAGAGGATTATTATCTGGGTGAAAGGATGTTTTCATACAGTGAGTATAATATTTGTGTATTGTAAAAAATAATGATGTTTCCGACATTTTGTTATTTTTGCTTGTGTTTTGTTTTTGCTATCTCTCAGTAATGCCAGGGTCTTTAATGAATTTGATAATTTTTTGAAAAAGATGGATTACATGTAATAGAATTTTAAACAAAGAAATGATTTTATTGACATGAATCAAATAATTGATTATACCTTTAGATTGTGGACAGGGGTTAGTAATTCCCACTTCCTTTCAACTACTCCCCACTTTACTCGCACTATCCTCTAAAAGACCTTACTGCCAATCTCCAAAATTCTATAGCCCTATCATAACTTATGTCTGCCCTTCTTCCAGCTTCAGTCTGATAATTCAGTTGTATTGCTTCTCAAATGAATTTTAAAATGTTGCACGACTTTGTAAAACTAATGTTGGAAGATAATGACACTTTTTAAAGGAAGTCTGAGGTGTTTTAACTTTGCAGTTAAATTATATCGACTTTCAGAAAATTTCATTCAAGACAAAAGCAGCTCTATTATTATCTCAATCTCTTAAAATCCTTGTAAATGCTGGACAGTGTGAGACCCTCATGGGTAGTCAAGGTCGTTAAACACCCCCTTAGAAGTAGTACGTTTTGTACTTGTAACTGCTTGACTTTATCCTCTATTGACCACCCCCTCATTACAGAAAATATCCTTGTCTGTTACTTCCATCAGCACTGTGTTTATAGAAGTACATCTTAACTTGAGATACATTGATGATTATAAAAGGTAAGGTGAATCCAATTAAGGTGAGGTCAATGCATTTGACAGATGAGGTAATGTTTGGAGTAGACAGGGGCTCTTCACCAAAAATCTTTAGTTAGTATTGTGATTATAAGCTATACTGAAATGTTCATGACTTACAAGTATTTTTTCTAGTAAGACTTGTGTGAACTGAGTCTCTGACTTGTATTATAGGAGACATGCAGAATTGTAGGAGCGTTTAGAATGGGGCTTAAATTGTACATCTACTTTGCTAGTCTTAAGGAATACAATCTGCTCCTTTATTCAGTAAGGTGAAGAAGTTCATCTCATCTCGGTTCTTACTCATAAAAGAGATATATGCATGCCCTTCTTGTGTAGAACTATAAGAAGTAAAATCGAAAAGAAATCCACATATATTGCTGTCTGTTGTCTTTAAAAAAAAAAATCAAATGTACCAGGCTTAAAATTTCATTGCATGTTTTTTCTGTATTTTGCATGATTTTTAATCCTATCATCAAGTGAAGGTCACACAAAAATTTTAAAGCACTAGTTGTTTGAATCTTCAAAGAGATCAAAGATCATTTGTCAAATATCCAAATGTCATATGTATCTGCTATTTTACTATCTTACTATCTAGAATTGCAAGCATCAAATGAATTCTGAATTGTTTTTGCCCTTTCATAAGCTATTAAGTAAAATTGTTTTGTTTTTCAACAGAAATAAACTTTCAACTTATAAATATAAAGTCAGTAAAAATTATGTGAAGCCTTAGCCATGAATTTTCAGTTTGTCTTAATTCCTCTCAATTAAAACGACCACTACCCCAGAACCCCAACTGGTTTGTAAAAAAATTCTTCTTTTTAATTCCGAATTTTTATCTTTCACTCGTGAATCTGTCTTTTTATAACCTGAGTTCTGTTGTAACTGCTGTTTGTTTTGTGTCCTTTTACATTTTTCCTATAAAAATATTTAGCAGTAGCGGAAATAATTCTGATAAGCTCTTGGGATATTAAGGAAAAAAACTGTGTATTGAACTGCCTACTTTATTGATGTAAATTCAGTAAAACAAGAAAAAACTGGACCCATGGGTTTTATACATGCAATCTGTAATGATTTTCAATTCAAGGAATTGTCAGATTAAGGATAGACGCAACTTATTGTGAAATCGAATTTATGGAAAATCTGAAATTTTCCTATTAACATTTAAAACGTATTAGAAATGTTTCGTGGTGTTTAGTTAATTGATTCCATTAGAACATGCTTAGTGATTACACAAACCAGTTTCAGATTATCAATCAATAAAGACTTCATTCTTCTGTGTTCCTTTAATTAATTTTGATCTAAGCTAATGGTTGACAGGTAATACCATGTCTTGTGTCAGTTCTTGATTCACACAACAAACCTAGGCTTACGGCATGTCTCCGAATCAATATCATATAAAAACGCTAAACAATTTGCAGCATAAATTAGTAATGTTTTGCACTTAGTTAATCCGAAAATTGTCTTGTTTAATCAGAAATTTGTGTTGTAACATTTTAGCAGTGAAAGTCGATCGATTACCTGGTTTGAGGTTTTATTGTATGAATAAGGATATCACCTTTTGTTGAAATAATTTTCAGGCTTGATTTATGATGATGAAATAATGGCGTGTTGAATTATTAATCAGACGACTGTAATCATTACCTTGTTAACTGCGTCAATCTCGTAAAGCCGTGACAAATAATTTTCTTTTTTTGCCGTTTGAAATTTTAATGCTTGAACTTGTCAATAAAAAGAGAAAGAGATGACTCTTGGTATGTGTTAATTTTGATTTTGAATGATGAAAAATCTAATTAAGGTAATATTGATTTTTGCAATTTCTTAGAACAAAATAATTTTTAATGCTCTTGATATGTGATGTTTATATTCTAATAAATATCATTGGTGTCTTTTTGTTTTTTTGTAATATAAAACAATATTAAACTAAATACTGAAATACAACAAATATATTATATAAAATCCAGTAGTAGTCTACTCAGTAGTCTACTAGACTGTCTAGTAACACAAAGAATGAAAAAAAGTCTAAAAATGCTAAGTATGAAAAACTGGTAGACCTTCCTAAGGCTAAAAATTGTGCAGACTACGAGTGTATATAGTACACAGACAAGGAATATATTATTAAGTGCATTAATTTACATATATAAGTTTTAGAGAAATTATTCACATGAAACAGTTTTAAAAAAGTCAATTTAATTTAACTTATTTTTTGCAGATATATTTTTTTGCTTTTAGCCCTTTTTCGCCGATTTTGTTACACTTTATTTATGTGATGTTCTAACTTTGATAATGTTTGCTTATAAGAGAAGATAAAAGTATGACATAAACCATTGTATATTTGCATTATTGTTCTACTGGCAAAAGTGGTGAAATAAATCTCTCACAAAAATTAACTGTTTTTAAGTTTATTGAGCTCTTTAGGTTATGTTTTATGATAGTGAGTCACCACCATATACAGCTTATTTATACTTTTGGACAGAGCTTGCATTATTGTTTGAGCAGCCCTTATCCATTGCTTGTGTTGTTGGATAACTGTCTCCTTGGCCATTTACTCCCACACCTCTTTCATTATCCATATGAAAGGAAGGAAAAAATATAATGTCATTAAAAGTTGTTCATAGAAGTTCATAGTTGATTGGTTGATTGATTTTTGATTGCTTGATGTCAAATGGCAAATACTCATGATATCCAGGACAAATTGGGAAAAAAAAATATCAGTTGGTACATGTAGGATCCAGAAGAATTGCATTGGGATAGTGGTTACAAATTAAAAAGATATCTCTGTACTGTATATTGTGAATTTAAATTTGTGTATGTCCAATTTTTGCTATGTTTGGGGTTTGCATGTAACTGCATGATTTATCAAACATTTCACTGTCCATTTAAAACAATTGTTCAAGGCCATAAAAGAGGGACGAAAGATACCAGAGGGACAGTCAAACTCATAGATCGAAAACAAACTGACAACGCCATGGCCAAAAATAAAAAGACAATCAGACAAATAATAGTACAGATGACACAACATAGAAAACTAAAGACTAAGCAACACGAACCCCACCAAAAACTTGGGGTGATCTCAGGTGGAAGGGTAAGCAGATCCTGCTCCACATGTGGCACCCGTCGTGTTGCTTATGTTATTACAAATCCGGTAAATAGTCTAATTCGGTAGGTCAAATTCGTGAAAAAGGAAGGGTATTGTAGTTACGACAAAAGGAACATATCCGATATCATCTGTGAAACGGTTATTCCATAACGGTCAACCAACTCGTGATGCGTCCGTAAAATTTACAAAGGGATGATTTCAACTTCACCATTTGGAACTCTTGGTTTAATAGCTTCCTTGTGAGCAGCAATCCTCTATCAAGGAAATCATAATAGGAAATACAAGCTCGGGAATATCGTATCAATTGGGAGATATATACTCCGTATGCAGGCGCTGCATAAAGTGCACTCAATGAACACAGTAATTATAAAACTCCCCCAAAAATCAAAAAAGGACAAGAAATTTATCTGCTACACAGTATTGCTTTCTCAGGAAAGAGGTTTCACACTGAGTTATTATCGTTATTATTCAATTGTATCATTTGTGTACTTTCAGGAACAGGGCAAAATGTGAAACCACCTCCTCTGAACATGCTCAGTGGTTCTAAATTATCACGGAACACAGCGACAGTGCCGCCATTGAACCAGACATCACCAAGTAATGGTCTGACGTCCCACAGTTCTAATGCTGCTCTGAATGCCACCAGAACATCTAGCTTTGCTGCAGCACTCCGGAAACTTGCTCATCAAGCTAAAGATCCAGGTATTAGCAATATGATTGTTTAACCTTTTCTTTTTACATCGAGATGACCGTGAGGTCATTCCGATGTATTGCTTTTGCCTAAATTTTGCACACATAACTTTCGTTTTGGTATTGTAAAAGATGTATATACATGATAAATACGCGGATATTAAACTAGTGCATACTAACATTCCTTATCGTTTGTTATAAATACATCTCTTCAATGAATACTGATAAAAATATTTTTGTATAGAACATAAATTAATAATATGAAAATGTTTTGTCGTTAAATATATATATATAAGTAAAAAATCATTGATAATATCTATGCACACGTACCGAAAAATTGTGTTAAGAGCATGTGGAAGAATATTTCAAGAACGTTTTGCGACAATCCCGGCAAGGACCGGTAACTCTATAATTGTTTTTGTGGGAAAATATGAACTCCTACTCATATCCAATCTTTTAGAAAATTGAATTTTTACAGAAGAGTGTCCACCATGCACTTGCACTGCACTATTATTAGAATAGTAGAATAGAATGATATACAAATGGATGAAAATTATATATACATGTAACTGTTATATTAATATAATATATAACAACAAACCAGTGTATACTGATTTGTATCACTACAATATAATAGTTATTACGGTGAGGTTGAATTTCCTGTCATTTATTCATCATCTACGCACAAACTTGTCTCAGAAGAAAAATATATCTCTGTACATTAACCTCAGTTTTAGGTATAGAGATGTGATTTTTTTCTGTGACAAGTGCTTTTGACCAGCCACAAGAACTTGCGGTCATCCGATGTTCAGTACTTCAGTACTTTGATTTTATTTCTTATGCATCAGTAATCAAAACTTTTTAAGTGCAATTATTTTGACACAATTTTATCAGATTTCTTTGCATATTTCACAGAAAAAATGTGTTGCCAAAATAAATCACCATTATCTTTGAACATATTACAACATGTGGGAGTAAATTACCTGTAAATAAATCATTACAAAATCAGCAACTCATCTAGAAGATAGGTTGAGGATGAGGTTACATGGAATAAGTAGTGGGATATTAAATGTTTGTTTTGAAATAAACTAATGACCAGTCAGATAATGGAAATATCACCAAAAATGGCCTATTTGAAAATTCTTTGACAAGTTGATGGACAAAAGGAGAGTTTCTGACCTTTGACAGGACAACAGAGGAAACAATATGCCACTTCCCTTTGACAAATTAATGTAGGAAAGCACAGTACATTACTGAACTTTGACAGGTCCATTAAGAAACTATTGTACATTACTTACCTTTGACAGGTCCATGGGAGAAGCCAGAGTACAAGTTAATGTAGGAAAGCAAAACACATTACTGACCTTTGACACATTCATGGAAGAAACCATAGTACATTACAAGTTGATCGAGGAGTACAGACCTCAGTACTGACTTGACAAGTTGTAATAAGAAAACAAAATGCAGAATTGACCTTAAACAAGTTGATGGAGGAAACCAGAGTTAAACACTGACCTTTTATAAGTTGATAGAGCAAACTTGAGTACAATTTTATGACCTTTCACAAGTTGATGGAGCAAACTTGAGTACATTTTTATGACCTTTGACAAGTTGATGGAGAAAACTTGAGTAAATAACTGACCTTTCACAAGTTGGGGGAGAAAACCAGAGTTAAATACTGACCTTTTACAAGTTGATGGAGAAAACTTGAGACCAATTTTCTGACTTTTCACAAGTTGGTCAACGCTTTTACAACCCTATGAAATTACTAAAAGAAGCATTCAATACTTATAATTCATTTTTCGCTATGATCATGAAAACACGATTACTATCATTTTTTTCTTTTTATTTACCTGTGCACTTTATTGTGGAAACGTGTGTCATCTTGTATGTTACAATTCATGAAATTCATTTTGAAATGAAGAATGACGCGAGACTGTTGTTAGCCAATCAAAATAACGTATAATAATGAAACATACATCTAATGTAATTATACTCACATATGTTTTTGCAGAAGATACTCCTTCAAAGCATGGATCTCAACCAGGAAGCTCGACCACCAGTCCAAGAGCAACCACACCAAAAAGAGGTCCACCTCCTCTAGTGTACACATCACATTCATCAGTCAGTTCACCACCAGTAGTAACCATAGCACCTACACAGTCTCATGCGAGTTTGGTCTCAACGGAATCACGACAGGTAAGCCTTATAAAATGAAAACAACACGATATAAATTTCATGCATCCGAGGCTCTTTTCTGGATTGACGTTCATCAGGAACACTCAAAGCCGAATATTTGAAAGTCAAGGATGTATAAGAACCGAAAAACAGTTGAAGAGCTATATGACCAAAAAGGACCTAAAAAAATTAGCATTACTTTCTTTGTAATTCAAAAATTTATAAACGGACAAGTTTAGAAAGGTTTGTTATAAATCATGTCAGTACCGAACTACTGAATAATGAGCTTGTATCCTGCAAGTCTGGTCATGATGTAATCCAGGCAAATGTGCCATAAAGTAATACCCGTATCATCTACATGTCTTTGTGCAAGTATGGTCATAATGTTATCTAGTAAATTGCACTTTGAAGGAGTGCTGTAAATTTTGGGATTACTGCACACATTTATCAATATGAATTGTAAAAAAATTACTGAATTTCTGAATTTATCAATGAGTCAAAGATGTTTCATTGATACATGAGATTTGATTTAAAATGCATATTTTGTGATCTGAAACCATTGTTTGTATTTAGATGACTATCACATTGATATCTTAATTTACAATATTTATAAGTAGTTAGTATAGCATAAACAGCCATATGCAACATGAAAGAGCCAAAGTTAGGCTACAGTTTTATATTTCAAGTATAAAGGGAGATAACCCAATTTACACCATACTGCATTTATTTTACTGCAATTTGTTGATCAATAGAAAAAATTTGCAATATTAAAAAATATGATTTCAGTAATTGTTGCATTCAAATAATATTAACAGAAATTATATGACTTTGGTGATGTGATAGTTAATCTGGAATTTTTTTCACATTTTTAAGAACATTGCAAAAAATTACCGGTACTTGTAGGAAAACATGTGCTATTAATTTATCTTGAATTAAACAGTAAATTTGGTAGTGATTGCACATTTTTTAGTTCAGATTGTGAGAAATTAAGATTCATAGATAAAATTTGACATTATTTTAAAAAAAGACATTCTTATTACTGGTTACTCAGTTACTATTAATATATGAAATTTATATTTTTAGAGTTTGGACAGAACACATTCTGTACATAGTTCTTTGTCAACATATGATGGTTTAAGTAGCATGAAAGCTGACCGTCCACATTCAACCCAGTCTGGTCGAGAAGAAGATCGATACAGGCCACAGTCATCACACTCGAGTCGGGATGATGATCGATTGTCTGCTAAAGACATGGCTCCATCCAGGAGGTACATTAATGAATATGAATATTCAACTTTATAAATTTGATGTGTTCAAAGTGATTTATAATATATTTTTCAAAATCGATCCCTTTACACAAATTTTCATATCCCATCATGGCTATTTCACAAATGATTTCAAATTAATGTCAGAAGGCTGACAGTCAGAAGTTTGAGTGGGAGGGTTGTATCTGACGATCTGTTGGAAAAGTAAATCACCATAAAAGAAAATTTAAACTGTCTGCTGATCTGTCAAAGGGAGATAACTCAGAATAAAAATGTACTGAAACAACAGTTTCTTCAGAATGGTAAAGAACCTAACATTGAAAATTTAAAAAAAAATTCAAAATTTTAAAAATAGGAAAATAGGAAAATAACATGTTGGTACTTTGAAATCTGCTTCAAGTCAAACAGCTTCAGGTCTGAAGTTTTAAATGTTCCAAGAAAATTCAATTCTGAACAGTTGAAGATCCATTTAAAATAGAAAATATGTCTGGTTTTGCCATACCTGATGAAGGTTATTCCAGTGGGAACTGCAACTGATATCATATGTTAATGTTATTTTAGGACCCCGTTGTCAGCTCAGAGCTCTACGTCACCTGCTGTAACACGAGAAGAAAGTATTATGAGAGGATTCCAACCATACCGTCCAGGAGATGATCTACGACACTCATTGCCACCTTTTGGCCTTGACGCAGCTGCCTATCCTTACCCAGCATTCCTGCCCCCACATGCATTCCCACATCCTGCCTTTAGGTAAGATGTAGTTTTTGTTTAGGTGGAAAGAAAATTGATTTTTTAAGAAAATGTTTCAAATGAATGATTAGTGATGACAAAAGTTGGCAAATATTTCTTTTCTCAAATTAGATTCAAAGACAAATTCTCTTGTATTCAGTTTTGTATATTATAATATAAAACATTTACCATGTTGAAATAAAAAAAAAATCAGCACTTGTATGTCTGCTCAATGTTTAGATGTATACTTCATGGAGTCAATAAATTGACAAAGCAAATATAAATTTCTTTAAACATATTTTGTTATTTAAACATTTCAATATCAGTTACAGAAGCAGTTTATCCCTCTATATCTTAGAAGTAGTGAAAAATACTTCCTCAGAGATTATCAGATTATGTTTTTATCTCCTCATGTTATATTTATAGATTTGATGACCCATTATTAATAGAAAGATACAGAATGATGCAGCCTCATTATCTCCCTTTTGCTCACCCTGGGATGCTACCACCACCAGGTGGCCTCAGTCCATTCCTAACAGGACGTTATCCACCAGAACTCCTCCATCAACAACTGCCATATGTATCTCAATCGTCAAGGTTACCAGATCTGTCTCCATCACTGCTGGAAAGGTTAGTTGTGTTGACAAAATAAGTTAAAAATAGAATTACAGGTAATAAGTTGAATGTACATGAAAACAATATAAAATGATGTATACAGAAAATCATAAAAATAGAACAGCATTTTAAAGTTGTTTTTTTTTTCTTTCTTCCATTCCATTACAAAGTCCTCTGTAATTAAAAAAAAAGATGTGTATTATAATGTATTGATATTAAAAATGTTAACATTTATGAGCAAACCCTTATTTTTATCTTTTTGTGCATGACCATTATGTAGCCATTACATGCTGCTTTGACTTATTGAAATCGTCAATTAATTAATACCTCATAGTATGGTGTATAGGCATTTTAGTAACTTTACAGGTCTAAATTTAAAGATTATAGGATCAAAACTGATATTTCAGGCATGTTTTCACATTCAACTGCTTTTCTGTGTTGTAATTTTCACTATGCTTCAACCTGTTAAGGATCAAATGAAGTTTCATATTATTCTGACCTTAAAATTATTAACTTTTTCATTAAAGGCAAAGATTAGAAGAAGAAAGAATGAGAGATCTGGAAAAAGAACAGAGAGAGAAAGAAAAAGAAGCCATTCTGTTAAGAGAGAAAGAAAGAGCAAGGGAAAGAGAAAAGGAGTATGACAAATTACGAGAATCAATGAGTCATGAGTATCGTTCACATCCTAGTACTGAATTACGTGTTCCTCATCATATTGATAGAGGGTCATCAGGAATAGACTTACGGACACCACAATACAGTTTAGATAATAAAAAATCAGAGACAAAAGACAGGAATCATAATGAGCGAGGACCAGTTAACAATGACGCCATTCCTAGATCTGTAGAAGGTACATTATATCGTCACTTTTCTGTATTGCTTTCATATGTTGTAGATAGTGCTTCGATACAGCTTTTTACAGTTCAGTTGATTTGTTTTTGAAACAAATAGTCTGTGCATTGGCATATAGAGAGGTCAAAGTATTATTAATGTCTTCCATATGATATCATATTATTTTATAAGTTTCCTATATTTAGTTTTAATATATAAAAAAAAGAAAAAAATTAAGCATGTGTTTATTATTCAAATATTGAAATACAAGTCAGTTATATACAGTTCATCATCGCCAAATAGCCAAACAATTTATTTATCTGAATTAATTTTTGTATTAGGGCTATATATTTCAAAATTGAATATACTGGGGGATTGGGAGGCAGTTTTTTTCAAGGATTGTGTGAAAAACTGTTTTGAAACTCAACTAACCCTCTACATTATTATAATTAAGTGCCTTTCAACATATGATATAATTAATTCTTGAAAAAGCCCTTACATAAAACCATTAGATTTTTCTTGTTGAAGCACTGTAAAACATTTAGAAAAGTTAAATTAAAATTCAGAAAATGATTAGTCAACTTGCCATAAAAAAGGACATACCGTTTCACATCAGCTGTTTAAATAACCCCACAAAATAAACCATACAGGTGTTCACCAATTTTTCTTGCAAATTGTAAACTTAAATTAATTTTACCCAGTATTTTTTAGATATTAGGAGTCAGTAAAACTAAAGGCAATAAGGTAAAGTCACTGGAATCTCTTAACCAATACTTATTTCAGTAAATAACAAATTTTTATGTAGCTATATATAACATCTGAATTGAACTGACACATTGCAAGAAAATTGGTTGAAACATTAATGGTTTTACTGTATATGGCAGATTTTACAGTATTGTGTTCTGCCTCCTACTTCCGTGATAAATAATTAAAGAAGGCATTACACGAAAAAAAATTATATTTTCTGAAAATTTATTATCAGTAGATCATAATTCTTCAAAAAAGGAGTAAATAATGTAAGAGATTATTGAATGGTTCCCAAGGAAACAGGATACCCACATTTTCTCCTTTTGCACCCTGGTCCAAAATTTCATTAATTTTGGTTTAAAGCCTTTAACCAGCAATAAAACCAAAATAAATTCTGAAAGGTAAAGGGTTTAGGAAGATATTCAGCATCTTTCACATTACTATTTCTAATATATTAGTGGAAAAAAAATATGTTTAAGATGATGGACATGTGACATATGGAAAATGGGACAAAAGTTTATGTTTTTCAAAGTAAATGACATCTAATACACAGTAAAAAGAATTGAATAAGTATAAAGTTGCATGTGTTGCCAATATTTACTTTTTACTAGTTTAATTTGTGCCAGATTCTTAAAAGAAAACATGTTTTGAATTAAGGCTGTTGCTAATGTGACGGAGACAAAAATGAGTAACGTTAGCGACATTTGGACATGTCACATTAGCAACAGCATCTTTAAAAAATAAAATGTATGCACACAGTCGTGCTTTATAAATGCTTTGAGTAATTAAATTGTACAGTCTGGTTTAGAATATCTAAATATACAGAATGTCATTGGCAGGTGTACTTTGTATCAAATGAATACACAAGAAACCAATTTGTAATAGTAACATTAGCAACATCTTCTTCAGTAATACATTAAGAAAATTTGCTATCTAGATGGGTCGCACTAAATAGGGCCAAAATTGTTACAGGAGGTGAAAAATAAGATTCATGATATCTTTATCGAAAAAGTTTTCAGATGTAACTGAATGATTCTTCTAGATCTGTTCATATCTTTAGTCGTGAACTGAGATGTTGATATGATATGAGTACCAAATGCAATAAGAACTGTTCTTTGTACCAGACTGACACACCAGATTTTATGGATGGATGGATTAATTATTGTTTAACGTCCAGTGTCAACCTAGTATGTGCACATCAGGACGAGAACAAGTTGATGTAATATGATCTCTGCTTTGTACTAGACCGACACGCTTAGATGGATTTTCCACAAAGACACATTATACAGACTCTGTTGCCTCTGTAAGCTGACCTTTGCTTTTACTCCTTGATGCTTTTGGCTTGGATGAGAAGCAGCAAAGACCCAATTTTAATGTCTTATTTTATCTGGCTACGAATTTAACCTGCAACCTTTGGCACTCAAAACAGAAGGGGGATATGGATTATTTATGGAGCACAAGCCAAAATGCCCATGTAATGTCTACCAAGAAACATCAAACAACAGAAGAATGAACAATTTCAAATCAATTCGCAGTGAAGATGGAAATACCATAGTGATCAATGCCTCAATGACTTTCACCATGGATTTTGGTAAAGAAAGTCTTTTGTAGTCTTCAGAACACCTTGCTTTGCCCATTTAATTCATGATGCATTTGCATTCAAAAGTCGAAAATACTGCCTAGACTAAGAAGCTTAAAAATATTTTAATGTTTGAAAAATTTATCGTCTCTGTTAGTTCTGGAGGACTGCATCTGAAAGAAAATAAATTGAAAATATTACTGGTATATGAATACAATTTAAAAAATGAACAACTATTAAAATTTTTAAAATGTATTGAAGTACTGCCTTCAAATTTACTTCAATCAAGACATAGTTTTTTGCCGAATGCTTTCAGTATATATGGTAATTAAAGATATGTTGTCATCATTAATTATAGCTAGAACAGTTCAAGTTACCATCTTCTTTTAATGATTACCCGAGATTATGCTAAGATACCCCTGAAAATCAAATGTATGTTTACCATTTGGTAAATTTGTCTGTGAGCAATGACTTTTATGCCAATTTTGACAATTTTAAGAACTGGACTAATTTTGGCAATTAATGAACTAAGTTGTTATTATAAAAATAGAAGATGTGGTATGAAGCTCTTCGAAAAGGAAAGACTATTACCTTCAAATATATATAGTAATGAGCGCCCCTTCATTACTATATTAGACTGTTTTAATTTTCTTATATAACATCACATCAACAATTTACTGTCCCAAAGTAACGATCGCTACATAAAAATCTGTCCATGTTATACCGTTCGCATCAAATTATTAAAAGAAATGTATTTTGATGAACTAGAAGACTCAACTGTACGTAAAATATGATCAAATCTCGTTGGGAGATGAAAAACCAAAACAAAAGTTTCTTAATGTGACATTTAAATGACATTACTTGATTCAACGTTTTGTTGCGAATGTCTTTTTGATGGACGGAATACAATAAAGGACCTCGTGTAACGATATAACAGACAACTTACCTTCTTTGCTTTCCCATTATGTGAGGGAACCGGCTCCGCATCCATTTCTGCAAAGGGCGATATCGTAACTTCTATACAGGAGAGTTACAGATCTAAATATATATTGCTCACGTGACATTGATTTGGACGGAAACGTAGAGCAGTAACGTTCGCAAAAACTAAAACAGCCAATGATATTGATTCCGAAAGTCCTTTGACCCCCTTTCGTCATCAAAATTTAATGTGATTGCTATTTATATCAATTATTTATAAAACCCGAGTTAAAAATAACAACGGGCCGTCTGAGAACCAACAAATAAATTGCGATCGTAACATACCACAATGGACGAAAAAGATGTGACGTTCGCAATAATATTATTAAATTACCTTTTTTAGCCTTTACCAATAAAAATGTGCCTTAGAATTATAATTAAAACACAAAAGAATACTTTTTATTAAAATATAAGTCCATGTTATTAGGCTCCACTTAAAAATAATACTTTAAAATTCCACTCCAAATAAGCTAGATGTCAGTCAAGTAGGTCACAATGTCTATTCAATGTCCAATATTTTGAAATTGAAAACCCACCAATTCTAACAAAAAACATAAACACAGGGTGATTTTTATTTTTATTTACTCAGAAAGACACCTTTTATTAAATAAAATAATGCATTACTTCATTTCACACTCTGTTTCACAGTTTCAGCAATACCTTTTTTGATGGATACAAAAAAGCAATACTTCCTTTTTATTGTAAAATCTGCCATATTCCAATGTATAAAAATGTTAGTCAAGATTTGAAAGTTTTACAAATTATTTTGTTTTGATAGGACATAAATTTGGCTCAATCACACATGGAACACCAAGGGAGTATAACCTCAATGACAAGAGCAGTAGGGAATTCCAATATAATTCTGACAGTGATCGCTTTAAAGCCTCTCGTCGAGACGTGGAACAGCACAAGAACAGCCATCATGATATTTCCAAACTTCATTCTCATCATCACGACAAACATGGCAGTGGTCATCATGATCATAGAGATAAAAAATATTCACTGTTGAACTCAGGACATCATAGTGATAAAAATAGAACTCAAAGAGAAAGTGAAAGTAAAGTTCATAAATCAAGTGACAGCATATTCAGACCCTTTGATACATCGAACTTAACAAATGGTTTTTTACCTGCTCATAATTCCCGAGATGGGGGTAATATGCCAAATGTTGAACGAACGATTGAGGCTGGTCAAGGGAGATTACCTAAAAAGGAAAGTACTAGTGCTTTGAAACATTCGGTTGGCATGCCAACAAAATCTGGAAATTTTAACCTTAATCATGTGATAGATGCAAGTAAAATGCATTATAAAGAGCATCATGCCGAACACTTGCATTCAGCTTCGGATAAAAATCGTGGTCTAGTCATAAGCAGCCTGGACATTGGTTGGCAGAAATTGCAAAAACGAAGGATGCGTGGGGAATTAAGTGACGATAGCGAGATGGATGAAATAGTAGACTATTTGGATGAATCTCATAAACAGAGTTTAATGATGGTGACCAAAGGACCACCATTACCTCTAGATGTTTCTAGAGAGAAAGTGAAATTTTTACAACAGATTGGATTAACATCTCAAAGGGTTAAAAGAGGTAGGTCAAACTGTTAATCATTAAAACACTTATATAAAACTAACCATGAATCAAATAATAAAAATAAATTGACAAAAACCCCAAGTTATATTTCAAGAGAAAGTTTAGATGATAGCATTCTCTTCTTCATTTTTTTTTCAGATTGAGTTTGGTGTAGGTTAAATGTCTTCTGCTATGGAAGACTGTGAAATGATGTTTGTCGGAATTGTCCAAAATGGATCATACTCTGAACATTACATGAAAATACTAAATTATTCATGCTATGAACATTTCATGAAAATGCTAAATGGCTTTACCTATTGTGGGAGTTCAACTTTTCTGAAATACAATATAAATATCACATAGTAAAGTCCAGATAATGCTGTGTTTACTGCACATTGCTGGATTACCTTTCATAAGCAATCCACAGAACAAAAATTTGGAAAGCAAAAGTACGATGAAATACATCACTTTTTTGAAATGCAACTAATACATGCATATTATATGATTGACATTGATACAATATCTGGTTTGATTATTTGAGGGGGATAATGGAAAAGATCTTATCCTATTGAAAAGAGCACAAGTTAATTATTGAACACAAATTTTATTTTTAAATTGGCAAAAAATATAATTATTTTATGTTCATATTATAGATCTTGAGTACAAAAAGATCCGACGAAGAAGACGTCGACACAGAGAGGCTAGTATTAGTCCTGTATTGATGGTTGATGGTGATGATAAGCGTATTTCACCCTCACCTAAAGTTGACCCAGAAGTATTGCGTCGGGAACCAGATTATCCTAATAAATGTTCATTTTTGGGATCATTTAGTCTTGGAACAGTAGAAAGTGAGAAAAAGAAAGGTTTGTTACCAGTTATTAATAATTTGCAGTTTTATGTATTTGAAATGACCCATTTTAATTAAAAAAAAAAATAAATACCTTAGAGGCCTGACATAACATTTACAAAATGGTATTGGTGACTTTGTCTTTTATAACATCAAGCTTCACCTGGCTATACCATGTGACCATTTTCAGTTCCTTCAATGTTCAACTTCTTCTAAATATATATATCTTTAAAAATATCATGTACATATATGAATTTTTTGTCATATTTTTCTTGACTACTCATAGTTTCTTGATACCTGCAGGGGTACAATAAGTTAGCAATATTCACAGTGCATCTTATTATTTCTAAAAATTTTAATTGTTGAAAGAAGTTGTAATGTTTAAAGTGCTGTATGAAACTGTTTTATCAGTCAGGGGACCCATTTGAATAATTGATCGTAAAATAACTCAATAAGAGGATTTTATCAACAACAAAGAAACTAAATTTCTACTATTCACTATTTAAAACAGAATTCTGATGAGAGAGCATATACTTTCATTGCAAAATCCCAAAAGATGTTTTAGAACAAATCGCACCATAAAGTTTTAACCCTATTTTTTTAGAAACAAAATATTCTGGAGGAAGAAATGCTCTAAATTAATTGTTACATGAACTGTGAATCTGAAGTTTTCCTAAAGTCATTTGCCCTACACAGAACATCAACATTCTTTGTAATAATTGTATGGTCAGTTATGTTCCTTATTCCTTAAAATACAAAGTTTGTAACAAGCAAGCACATGCAGACCTGCCAACTATCCTGATTTATAGGGGATATCCAACTTAAGAGGTGTTGACCTGAATTTTGAAATTCTTTATTATATAAACTTAAAGCCTTAAAACAGGCATTCAAATGAGTTAAAAGGGTATTTAAGCACTTATATACTCATTCAAAACAATACAACAGTAGATTAGGAACACTTATGGCAATATAAGAGCCGCACAAGGTCCTCTTGCGCTTAAATCCCCAATTAAGATTTTGAAAAGTTGGCAGGTATACACATGGATGTATGATTTATTCTTGAAATAGAACTAAATATATAACTGAAATTTTTTATATAATATTTATGCAACAATATATTTGAATATGGCTTTAAATAAGTTTTCACTTTGTTTTAGGTTCTCCTGTTAAACGAAAAGGTGATAAAAGACAAGATGAACATTCAGGGAAAAAGGTATCAAGAACGACGAAAAGCGAAAAAGTGAAACTGTTTTCTAACAAGAATAGTGATAAGACACTCAGTCGAGAATTTGCCCAGGAATTTCATAACTCTGTCTTACAAAGTACTCAACAGAAACAGATTAACGGAAGATTAGGTTTGTATAAACTTAAGGACTGAAGATTTTTGTTCTTTATATATCTTTCTTAGCAACAATAATTTAATTGTGCTTAGTGAAGAGGGGCTTGAAGTTTTCCCAAGAAGTGTAAATTTTTTCCTCGTACTGAATACTGTGAATGCATTGTTTGGTGGTATAGGTGAACCATAGATTTTAATGTTCATCTAAGTATATATTTTCTATAGGCTTATATGCAAACTTTGATACAACGGAAAAAATGTAATATCCAAATTTTTTTCGTAACCACGAAAATAAATGAATTTATAGTATGCATGAAAAATTCCCACTGGAAGTTTAGCAACAATAATCAATCAGTCATTTTGTTGAGTCCACACACTTCAAAAAAATATTCTGAATTTACTTTTAATTATTAACACTGTCTATTAATATGTAAAGTGAAAATAAGAATTCTATGAACATCAAAATGATGTCAATTTTACGTATCATGTATCATGTATGAATCCTCATTACCTTTAAAAACTTGCGTGAAGTAAAAATCAGTATTTGGATAAAAGTTCTTATCTGATACAAATGGAGTTTTTAAACCTTTAGACATTGAAAAATTGCATACTTTGTCTAAAAAAAAAAAACATTTGAAACACGGTCATCAAAAATTTTCTAATTGTAGGTTTGGATGGTAATCAAGGGGAGACAAGTCAGTCTTTAAAACCAACAATCTCTTGTGATTCACCTATTGGTGATATTCCAAAATGGCCAGGCATTGATATTTTAATGGAATCTTATCAAAAGTATCAGGAAGGTAGGTGATTTATTGAAAATTATTGTGTATTTTAAGCTAGTGCGTGAGATCAATAAAAGTTACCTCCCATTATAACTTAAAGCACACAGAATAGTCAAACAAAGGAGTAGGTTTGATAAGGCCCAAGTACAACCCATATTTCAGGCTAAAATTTCTATTAGATTGTATTGACCATTTTTACAATGTACATGTATCATAGTTAAAACAATGACAAGATAGTAAATAGACTTTTTCCACCAATTCAATGATTAACATACCAATTTTCTTGGTTTTTAAGTCTTGAAGCATATAACACATTCATCAACATATATTGGACTTGAAATCAAGAAGATTTTGTCAACTTTCATAAGAAAATACCTTGTTAATGGCCTAACACTTTATCAGAAAAGTGCAAACATGAAAAAATGATATATGGCAGAAAACAACAACTTGTTTATTTTTTTGTAATCAATCCTGTTTTTTTTGTTATTGTGTTAACTTTATAAATTACAAAATACATACGATACTTTCATGTAGATAAATAAGACAACATGCTGAGTATAACATAATATGTTAATAAGACAGAAACCGTAAATCACATTAAAACCAGAAAAGTCATATAGAGGGCAACATACAAGCTTAAACAATTTGCAAGTGTCTACTGTATAACGATCAATCAGTTATAAGTGAAGAAGTCAAGATAAAATCGCTGTTCCTTTTGTACATGAAATGTAACAGGTTTAGTCTTATTATAAGAAGACTTTATAAGATAGGTAACAGAATGATTTCAATTTGTGAATTTGTTGGCTTTCTCAGGCTAGGTAGACTACTGCTTGTTAAATTACTCTATCAGTGTTTCAAAATAAGTAATTTTTTTTTTCATTACAGAATTTAAATTAGAAAAGTCCATGCTACAAGACCGTTGTCGGAATCTACAAACTACTAATCACGATTTCAATAAACGAGCTGAAGAGCTCAGTAAGAAGATGTCTGTAAGTTGAGCAGAGTTATCTTTCTTGGTTATTTTAAGAACTTGTCAGTAAGGAATTTCTGTTAGTTAAGTAAGACTCTTTCAAGTCTACTTTATTTAAGTTCAGTTATGACTGAAAAAATATCTAAGCAATTTGCTTATACAACCCTTGTAAGTGGGATTACAACTATTACAGGGGAGTTAAGTTTAATGACCTTGACCTTCAATTAGGATCGTCGATTTCTATCATTCAGGATGTAAAACACCTAGGAGGCAGTTAGCATCAAAAGTTTCAAGAGTTAGTAGTTTCTTTTTAAACAGTATTTAAAAAATAGAGAAAAGATAACATTCTGACCAATAGCTGTCTTCAGAATGAAGGAGGGTATTAAATGTAGCTGAAAATTCATTTTTTGACAATATTTGAGCTGATTTAATCTTTAATGACCATATGTCTATGTATTAAATTTAACAATGTTTCTATCATGTTCAAATTGGATTATTCAACACAAAACAAATCTTTTAAAAATTAAAAACCAATTGTTCAGAGAACAATTGAAGGTCTTTCCACTTCTAACGATTTATTTTGATATGAAAATATTCAAATTCCATTTAAAATGTCATTTTTCATTGTGTCAAATAATAGCTCATTGTTTGCTGTTTCCCAAAATATATGGTTTCTATACAATTTTGTTTGTAATAAGGGAGGTAATTTGTTATTTCCGGTCTGAAAATGTGACTTCCGGTATTATTTGAAAGTTTATTTGACATTGCTTTCAAAAATATATTGTTCTATATACTTTTACATGAAATAAATACAAAAAATAGCCACTTCCAGTTTGCATTTTCAAATTCATATGGCTTGTAACCTAATGCATATAGTCCTATGGCTTTATGATGTATAAATATGAATTTAAAGCAAAGGTCACAATCTAGAACGTCAAGTTTACCTATGACCTTGACCCCAATATCAAGGTCATAAACCAAGGACACTAAATCAAAAGACCCTAGGTCTTTAATATGTATTGTTAATGAGTTATATCACTATACACATAGTTCTAAATATATAAGATGGGCGAAAACTCCCATTTAATGTATACGTACCCTTTGAATTAAAATTCAGGAGTTACGACATGTCGTAAATGACAATTTAATAAATATGTTGTTGATATTTTGATATTTTGTACAGTTTATGAAAAGAAGTGAGAATAAGCCAAGATAAAAATTTAGAATTTGACCTTTACCTTTGACCTTTACCTAATTTTTGTTTTTTTGGACCAAGGACCTCAAATGTGAAGACATTAGGTCTCTATCACTTATGGTTTACCAGTTACAAATGCAAATCACTTATATCAAATGCATAAGGGGAAATAACTCTCATATGGAGTCTCTGGAATGCTTCGGTGTAAACCAAACTCAATATCCTGAAGATATAGGAGCAATTTGGTGAAATAAATTTGTCGTAATCTTTTACAGTTGCGAAGGAGTAGTGTGCACAAGGAAAACAGTGTTCAGGGAGATAACTCTTACAAAATAAAGTACTTTATTAAGCCGTGTCAGTTTCATAAGCGTATTAACTGTTCGATATCATAAACCAAAAATCTAAGTGACATATATGAAAACAACAATACAGCGGAAGAAAAAAAAAAAAAATAATAAATAAATAATCAGAACAAAAGCAAAAGGTCTTTCCATGGAAAAGTGGAAAGACCTCATAATCAGAACAAAAGCAAAAGGTCTTTCCACGGAAAAGTGGAAAGACCTAATAATTGCTTCATCTTTTTGGTTATGTTACATTTATGATATCATAATAATTTTTCTTCTATCTTTTTGCAGGATTTTTTGGATAAAAAGAAACAGCTAGAAGATAGTCGACTCGAAAACCAAGGTGCAATAGACAGTTTGAAACAGATAATAAAAGACATGAAATAATTGTTTCCTTGTGTAACAAAACCCATGGTGCAATAGCCAGGATGAAACAGATACTAAAAAATGATAAAGTGATGGTTTCATTGTACTTACAAAAATCCTGGTGCAATATCCAGTCTGTAATAGATACTGAAAAGACTTATAATGTTTTGAATTGTACTTAATTTATATGCATTAGTCATTCCTAGATGGAAATGAAACACTTTGTTATTGGATTTTCTCAATGTTTTGTAAAAAAATAAATAATGACTGAATTAATTATATTCATATTGTTAAGTTATTCTCAGAGAATAATGATTGTTGAAATTTTAATTGGCATAATATGTAATCAGGTTTAAGAAAATTATTGCAATTAGAATATAGGTGTATATGATTTTGAGATGTAAAATTGACAAGCTTTCAACTTTAAGTTGGAAGATGAATTCAAGGTTTATTGCATTTTAGTAATACTCTGTATAGTGCTTATTTCCCAGTGTTGTTGTAATGTCAAATAAAATAATGGTGCAGACATGGACAGTGATGATTCAATTACACTTTCTAGTGGATTTCTGTTTGGATTTATTATATACACTGTGTTTTAGTTAGGATTTAAGTCAGAAAGGGCACAGTTTTAAATGAAAGGACATATTGGCACCGTATCTTGTCTGAAAAGGGACAACTTGGTCATAAAGGGACAACTTGGTCATAAATATTATATAGATAACATTGAAATAATTAATGTATTTTACAATATTTATAGTAGTATTTGATGGTATAAAGCTTTTTCAAGTTATTTTTGGCATTGACAAGTATTTATTTTCCTTCAGAAAACTAAAATACTTATGGCAGGACCATAAGAGTCCAGGGTACACAGAAAGGGGGGCACATACAGGGCAGAGGGGGGCTGTGTCCCACTGTTTTGGGCTAGATAGGAGACTGCACAGTGATTTGCTTCTGGTACAGCCATTTCTCAGAGATGAAATCATTGAATGGCAAACGTATGTTAAAACTCATGACTTTTTATATTCCCAGTATAGGAGGTCTGTTTAATGGAGGAAAATGAAAGATCAAATGCTAAAATGCATTTGCAGTCAAATTTTGTCACATTTATTGTTTACATCAAAAGTTGGCATACAGATATTTCAATTTTCTAACAACTCAAATAAGAAAAACCTCCTGTTAGAAGGCATACTTCCAAAGTGATTTCAATGAAAGAAAATTTTTGATTGTACAGTGATTAAAAAGAAAATTTTTGATTGTACAGTGAATAAAAAGAAAATTTTTGATTGTACAGTGAATAAAAAACTTGTAAGTAAAATCCTATGACTTTTCTGTAAATGCCATATTTGGTTTTATCACTAATTTATCCTTTAAGACTGTAAGACCTGTTATTGCACCAACTTAAATATCTGTTTATTAAAGCACAACACACTGCCTCCTTCCTCAAGGTTTCTTTGTATTAAATGAAATGTATTATACTGAACAATGAAATTGTTTATTTACTTTTACATAAAATACATCAATTATACATGGTTTTATACACATCCATTATATCATTTACACATACAATTACTTTTTCACCTTGTATTTATAACTGTTTTATGAACATAATATATTTATAAATATTGCTTTTTTACAGTGATTTCTGTATGGTACGGGATTTGGTTTATAATTTATCACAGATTTTTTAATTAGAAAAGAAATTTTAAGAAATACAATGATTGTGTGTTTTATGCATTGAAAATTAAATAGAAAAAAATTATCACATTTGATGTAGCCTTAGAGATGCAAAATTTTTAGGGGAAATTATCTGTATTTATTAAAAGGTAAAGATATTTGATATAATTTTTAGTTTATTGAAAATTAGTGTTTTATTTTTGAGATTTTTCAGCTAATGCACAGCAGTAAAATGTTCAGTATCTGTGTAAATACTACAACACATAATATGAGCTGCATCGAATAGAAATTGACCTTATGCAAATGAATATCAATGCATCTGTTTAACATTTTTCGGGTTGAAAAAATCTCTATGCAAAGTCTGTAACTGTTTGAAAATTGAGTTGATATAAGAACCCAACAAAACAGACCAAAATTCATCTTTTATTTCGTATTTGAATGTTCCAAAATCAGTAAAGGTCTTACACATGTACATGTATATGTGCACTTGCATAAGGTCGATTTCTATCCGACGCAGCTGTTGAAATTCTTCTTTAAGTTACACTTTGCAATTTAGATTTTTTTATCTCCCCTTTTAACATTGTTTTCCATAATTGCTGGCAATTAATTCATAAGAATTAAAAAAGATTGAGAAAAACAATTTATTTCTCAAATCAAATCAACCCTCAAACTGTTGAAGCTCTAAAAGAAAATATAATATATATAAAACTTTCAGCTTAACCTTATGAAGGTAAATTAAAAGTGTTAGCTTTAAATAAAGCTTTTCTGGTTTCAGCTTTCTATAATGTACTCAGGGTATCAACTCTGATGATATTCTATAAAATGAGACATGTACACATAGGTATGTGATTTCCTATGGCGTTGGCCAAATTAATCCAACAATTGTTGATTACCCATCAAGCTTTGTATGAAAACAAATGTCAAATTTGAGCTAGAGAATAACACCGTTGCTATTTGAATTGACAGACGATCTTATCTGACCTTTCAAATTTCTAATCAGAAAAGGGGTGTGTTTCTGCATGAAAGTCTCTTTATTCTTTGTGTATTTATAAAACTACAAGGCATATGATACCAAATACCTGTCTGCTATTCATTACATTATAGCCATAACCAGTGAGATTTGCTGATATTGTACTGTTTTTGGAACGATGTCTTTACTATGATCATATCTACTCAATATCTCAATCTTTATGATCATATTCATGGTATATATCATTGATTTCTGTATGATAATCCGTTTGCAGCTATATAGCATATCATGTCTCTTTTTAATAAAAACAAATATTTACAGCATAGTTTTTCTTCAATATTGGGCCTTTACATGTCACAAGTTTTCTCATAAATGTGCCTTAATGTTTAGCTTGATTGAGTGATTGTCATTAATTTTAAAAATGATTGAATGAGTGCCCTTAATTTTAAGAATGATTGAGTGATTGCCCTTAATGTTAATTAGCTTGATTGAGTGATTGCCCTTAATGTTTAGCTTGATTGAGTGATTGCCCTTAATGTTTAGCTTGATTGAGTGATTGCCCTTAATTTTAAGAATGATTGAGTGATTGCTCTTAATTTTAAGAATGATTGAGTGATTGCCCTTAATGTTTAGAATGATTGAGTGATTGCCCTTAATTTAAAGAATGATTGAGTGATTACCCTTAATGTTTAGCTTGATTGAGTGATTGCCCTTAATTTTAAGAATGATTGAGTGATTGCCCTTAATTTTAAGAATGATTGAGTGATTGCCCTTAATGTTTAGCTTGATTGAGTGATTGCCCTTAATTTTAAGAATGATTGAGTGACTGCCCTTAATGTTTAGCTTGATTGAGTGATTGCCCTTAATGTTGAGCTTGATTGAGTGATTGCCCTAAATTGTAAGAATGATTGAGTGATTGCCCTTAATGTTTAGCTTGATTGAGTGATTTCCCTTAATGTTTAGCTTGATTGAGTGATTGCCCTTAATTGTAAGAATGATTGAGTGATTGCCCTTAATGTTTAGCTTGATTGAGTGATTGCCTTTAATGTTTAGCTTGATTGAGTGATTGCCCTTAATGTTTAGCTTGATTGAGTGATTGCCCTTAATTTTAAGAATGATTGAGTGATTGCCCTAAATGTTTAGCTTGATTGAGTGATTGCCCTTAATGTTAAGAATGATTGAGTGATTGCCCTTAATGTTAAGAATGATTGAGTGATTGCCCTTAATGTTAAGAATGATTGAGTGATTGCCCTTAATGTTAAGAATGATTGAGTGATTGCCCTTAATGTTTAGCTTGATTGAGTGATTGCCCTTAATGTTTAGCTTGATTGAGTGATTGCCCTTAATTTTAAGAATGATTGAGTGATTGCCCTTAATGTTTAGCTTGATTGAGTGGTTGCTCTAAATGTTGAGAATGATTGAGTGATTGCCCTTACTGTTAAGTATGATTGAGTGATTGCCCTTAATGTTTAGCTTGATTGAGTGATTCCCCTAATGTTTAGCTTGATTGAGTGATTGCCCTTAATTTTAAGAATGATTGAGTGATTGCCCTTAATGTTTAGCTTGATTGAGTGATTGCCCTTAATGTTACGAATGATTGAGTGATTGCCCTTAATGTTAAGCTTGATTGAGTGATTGCCCTTTATGTTTAGCTTGATTGAGTGATTGCCCTTAATGTTTAGCTTGATTGAGTGATTGGCCTTGATTTTAAGAATGATTGAGTGATTGCCCTTAATGTTTAGCTTGATTGAGTGATTGCCCTTAATGTTTAGCTTGATTGAGTGATTGCTCTTGATTTTAAGAATGATTGAGTGATTGCCCTTAATGATTAGCTCGATTGAGTGATTGCCCTCAATGTTTAGCTTGATTGAGTGATTGCCCTTAATGTTTAGCTTGATTGAGTGATTGCCCTTAATGTTTAGCTTGATTGAGTGATTGCCCTTGATTTTAAGAATGATTGAGTGATTGCCCTTAATGTTTAGCTTGATTGAGTGATTGCCCTTAATGTTTAGCTTGATTGAGTGATTGCCCTTAATGTTTAGCTTGATTGAGTGATTGCCCGTAATGTTTAGCTTGATTGATTGATTGTCCTTAATGTTAAGAATGATTGAGTGATTGCCCTTAATGTTTAGCTTGATTGAGTGATTGTTGTTTGATTTTAGATACATGCAGAGGCATTAAACAATAAATCAATTTAATGCTGTATATTATGAATATCTTGCGATGTTTTCATTATTGCGAAAATTGCAGCAGCAAAGCATGTCTGTCACCAGAGGTGAAAGATGGACTCTGCATGTCTGTCAACAGAGGTGAAAGGTGGACTCTGCATGTCTGTCAACAGAGATGAAAGGTGGACTCTGCATGTCTGTCAACAGAGGTGAAAGATGGACTCTACATGTCTGTCAACAGAGATGAAAGTTGGGCTCTGCATGTCTGTCAACAGAGGTGAAAAGTGGACTCTGCATGTCTGTCACCAGAGGTGAAAGGTGGACTCTACATGTCTGTCAACAGAGGTGAAAGGTGGACTCTACATGTCTGTCACCAGAGGTGAAATGTGGACTCTGCATGTCTGTTAACAGAGATGAAAGGTGGACTCTACATGTCTGTCAACATAGGTGAAAGGTGGAATCTGCATGTCTGTCACCAGAGGTGAAAGGTGGACTCTTCATGTCTGTCAACAGAGGTGAAAGGTGGGCTCTGCATGTCTGTCAACAGAGGTGAAAGGTGGACTCTACATGTCTGTCACCAGAGGTGAAATGTGGACTCTGCATGTCTGTTAACAGAGGTGAAAGGTGGACTCTACATGTCTGTCAACATAGGTGAAAGGTGGAATCTGCATGTCTGTCACCAGAGGTGAAAGGTGGACTCTACATGTCTGTCAACAGAGGTGAAAGGTGGAATCTGCATGTCTGTCACCAGAGGTGAAAGGTGGACTCTACATGTCTGTCAACAGAGGTGAAAGATTGACTCTGCATGTCTGTCAACAGAGGTGAAAGGTGGACTCTACATGTCTGTCAACAGAGGTGAAAGATGGACTCTGCATGTCTGTCAACAGAGGTGAAAGGTGGTATCTGTATGTCTGTCAACAAAGGTGAAAGGTGGACTCTACATGTCTGTCACAAGAGGTGAAAGGTGGACTCTACATGTCTGTCAACAGAGGTGAAAGGTGGACTCTACATGTCTGTCAACAGAGGTAAAAGGTGGACTCTACATGTCTGTCACCAGAGGTGAAAGGTGGACTCTACATGTCTGTCAACAGAGGTGAAAGGTGGACTCTACATGTCTGTCACCAGAGGTGAAATGTGGATTCTGCATGTCTGTTAACAGAGATGAAAGGTGGACTCTACATGTCTGTCAACATAGGTGAAAGGTGGAATCTGCATGTCTGTCACCAGAGGTGAAAGATGGACTCTTCATGTCTGTCAACAGAGGTGAAAGGTGGAATATGCATGTCTGTCAACAGAGGTGAAAGGTGGACTCTACATGTCTGTCAACAGATGTGGAAGGTGGACTCTACATGTCTGTCAACAGAGGTGAAAGATTGACTCTGCATGTCTGTCAACAGAGGTGAAAGGTGGACTCTACATGTCTGTCAACAGAGGTGAAAGATGGACTCTGCATGTCTGTCAACAGAGGTGAAAGGTGGTATCTGTATGTCTGTCAACAAAGGTGAAAGGTGGACTCTACATGTCTGTCAACAGAGGTGAAAGGTGGACTCTACATGTCTGTCAACAGAGGTAAAAGGTGGACTCTACATGTCTGTCAACAGAGGCAAAAGGTGGACTCTGCATGTCTGTCAACAGAGGTGAAAGGTGGGCTCTACATGTCTATCAACAGAGGTGAAAGTTGGGCTCTACATGTCTGTCAACAGAGTTGAAAAGCGGACTCTGCATGTCTGTCAAAAGAGGTGAAAGGTGGACTCTAAATGTCTGTCAACAGAGGTGAAAGGTGGACTCTACATGTCTGTCAACAGAGGTGAAAGGTGGACTCTACATGTCTTTCAACAGAGGTGAAAGTTGGGCTCTGCATGTCTGTCAACAGAGGTGAAAGGTGGACTCTACATGTCTGTCACCAGAGGTGAAATGTGGACTCTGCATGTCTGTTAACAGAGGTGAAAGGTGGACTCTACATGTCTGTCAACATAGGTGAAAGGTGGAATCTGCATGTCTGTCACCAGAGGTGAAAGGTGGACTCTACATGTCTGTCAACAGAGGTGAAAGGTGGAATCTGCATGTCTGTCACCAGAGGTGAAAGGTGGACTCTACATGTCTGTCAACAGAGGTGAAAGATTGACTCTGCATGTCTGTCAACAGAGGTGAAAGGTGGACTCTACATGTCTGTCAACAGAGGTGAAAGATGGACTCTGCATGTCTGTCAACAGAGGTGAAAGGTGGTATCTGTATGTCTGTCAACAAAGGTGAAAGGTGGACTCTACATGTCTGTCACAAGAGGTGAAAGGTGGACTCTACATGTCTGTCAACAGAGGTGAAAGGTGGACTCTACATGTCTGTCAACAGAGGTAAAAGGTGGACTCTACATGTCTGTCACCAGAGGTGAAATGTGGACTCTGCATGTCTGTTAACAGAGGTGAAAGGTGGACTCTACATGTCTGTCAACATAGGTGAAAGGTGGAATCTGCATGTCTGTCACCAGAGGTGAAAGGTGGACTCTACATGTCTGTCAACAGAGGCAAAAGGTGGACTCTGCATGTCTGTCAACAGAGGTGAAAGGTGGGCTCTACATGTCTATCAACAGAGGTGAAAGTTGGGCTCTACATGTCTGTCAACAGAGTTGAAAAGCGGACTCTGCATGTCTGTCAAAAGAGGTGAAAGGTGGACTCTACATGTCTGTCAACAGAGGTGAAAGTGGACTCTACATGTCTGTCAACAGAGGTGAAAGGTGGACTCTACATGTCTTTCAACAGAGGTGAAAGGTGGACCCTACATGTCTATCAACAGAGGTGAAAGTTGGGCTCTGCATGTCTGTCAACAGAGGTGAAAGGTGGACTCTACATGTCTGTCAAAAGAGGTGAAAGGTAGACAATAAATAGGACTACCTCTGGGAAAAGAGAGTACTAGTATTAGTAATGGGCTTCCTTCTTAAAACATGCAAAGGCTGTCTCTATCTCAACATGAGGCAAATTATTAGCATCCACATTCTGACAAAAACATAATGGTGTCTAATAGAATTGTCAAGCCTTATATCTCATGAATTACATACAATAAAATTTAGTTCAGTTACTTTCCTAGAATCAAAAAAATTGTCCTGGAAGGTTTTTTTAAAATACACAATTTATCTTTCTGAACTGATTCTTCTCTAA